ACAACCCAAGTGCCCATCAACAGACGGTTGTTTTAATAAGATGTGGTTTATATATACAATGGAATATTAGTCAGCCATAAAAAAGAATGAAATTGCCATTTGCAGCAACATGGGTAGACCTAGAAAATATCATGCGAAGTGAAGTAAGTCAGAAAGAGGAAGACAAATATATGATATCACCTATATGTGGAATCTAAAAAATAATATAAGTGAATCTATATACAAAAGAGAAAGACTCACAGACATAGAAAATAAACTTATGATTACCAAAGAGGGAAGAGGAGGAGGGAGAAAATAGGAGTATGGGATTAACAGATACACACTACTATATATAAAGTAGATAAGCAACAAAGATTTACTGTATAACACAGGAAACAATATTCAATATCTTATAATAACCTATAATGGAAAATAATCTGAAAAAATATATATATATATTAAAAAAAACCTAAATCACTTTGCTACACACCTGAAAGTAACACAATATTGTAAAACAATCACCTCATTTCCATGTTCATCCGTGATTGATATGTAGTTGGCATTTGTCTCATTAGGGTAAGACAGGAGAACATCATAATGAACCAACTTGGCTGAATCCAGTCCAGATTTCTTCCACTGGGTTTGGATTTTCTTGGCCAGCAGCAAATTTTGTTCTGTTCCTGCCAGATGAGGTAGCTCTGTAAAAGAACTAAAATGAAAATAAAAGGAGGAGTTAAAGACTATATTCAGAAAATGTGCCTAAGAACTATTCTAGATGCATAACTCATATTTTAGGCATTGTTATCATTTCTATAACAGAGATATAAAAAACCCAGCTAGAGCTTTCTAGATATGCCAGTTTTTAAATATTTGTGTGTAACTGCAGTTTTCACACTATGTTCCCACAGAAAAGAGCACATCCCATGGTGAACACATTCAATCAGCAGAGGTGCGGGCATGAGAAAACATGCTGGAAGGATGGCATGCCTCTACATCAGTGGTGCCAACTTCTTGCTGCTTAACAGGAAATGAGGACATTCTGAAAAACAGATCATAATGTTTGCCAGAGACCAGTTGGGCAGTCTTGTTAACATACACTTCTACTGCTGTTTTCATCCTATTGTACGCAGTTGTCTATTTATCTCATTGAAGCTAGAGTCCATGCATTTTTATTTGTATATTCCTTAATGCTCAGTACTTGCCTGTTACCCAGGAATTACACAATACAGGTTTGTTGAACTGAACTTGAGCAATGTTCTATAGGTTCTGAGTCTAAATGATTTGGAACAGTCAAGTGACTTCACAAACATAGTTCTGAATGAAATTCACTTGGCTTGAGGTAAATAATATTTTAAAAGTTTCCCAAACCCTCTCCCTCCATAAGTAGGGTAATGATACTTTCGTAGATTGTGTTTTTAATCAACCATAGTACAACCAAAAAAGACAGACAGTAAAGAAAAACCAGTACTTATTGAAAACTTACTATATGCCAGGACCTGGACCAGGTATTTCACATGGGCTTTCTCCTTCAATCCTCACCACCCTTCTGCCATTGTCCCCGTTTTGCAAATAAGGAAACAGAGAGTAGTTAAATACCTTGTCCATAATTTCCCAAGTATTAAATGCCAGGGCTGGCATCTGAAAGTTGCCGTTGTCTGACCTTGAGAAATTGTGTTATTTTTAAATCATTCATCTGATCATTTTGATCAACTGCTTTTAAAACCCTTCTACCTTCTACATTATAAAGTTCACACTAGGCATGGCATTTGTGCCCTTTTTCAAATAATCCACTGTTTCACCTTTCCAGCTTCATTTCCCACCACTCACCTTATAAACTTCTTCACTCTATATCATTTAATATGCTAATTGGTCTCCTAAAATGACCACCATTGTTAGCCTTTGCACAAGATCTCTCAGATATAAATATCATCCTATTTACATGAATCTCCCTGTATCACCACTGCTAGTCATTCACCTTCCCCACCTGTAGGCTATCAATCATCCATTAGGACTCTTCAAGCATATTCTCCTCTGTGAAGCTTTCCACTTCTATACCATTAAATCAAAGCTGCAAGTTACTGATATTTAATATTGTACAATATTTGTAAAACAATATTAATGTGTTTGTAGACAGAAGTTATTTTACATGCATAGTAAAACCACTGAGGCTAGGGATATTTAAAATTCTACTTCAGGGCTTCCCTGGTGGTGCAGTGGTTAAGAATCCACCTGCCAATGCAGGGGACATGGGTTCGATCCCTGTCCCGGGAAGATCCCACATGCCACGGAGCAACTAAGCCCGTGCGCCACAACTACTGAGCCGGTGCTCTACAGCCCACAAGCCAAAACCACTGAGCCCACGTGCCACAACTACTGAGCCCACATGCCACAACTACTGAAGCCCGTGGGCCTAGAGCCCATGCTCCGCAACAAGAGAAGCCACAACAATGAGAAGACCGCACACCGCAACGAAGAGAGTAGCCCCCGCTCGCCACAACTAGAGAAAGCCCGCGCTCAGCAACGAAGACCCAACACAGCCAAAAATAAAAACAAATAAATAAATAAATTTATTTTAAAAATAAAATTCTACTTCATATAATTCATTATTGTTTTATTTTCTGTAGTGAGCAAATAATATTCTTACAATTAGCAAAAAAATAAGTATATTTCCTTCATTTAAGATGGAGGATTAACCATGAAGTTTTGCCTCCCATCTTTTAGGCAACCCACTGAAATGAAAGACAGAAGTGCAAAAAACAAAAAGCAACAGGGAATAACTTTACTGAATTTCTCTTTATGGTCCCAAGTGGGACACTGCAGCTCAGGCATCATATATTCATGCTGCAACATTCAGGAGAAGCAAGTACAAACAAGAAAAGCTATTTCCTCTTTTGTGCTTCTTTCAACAAAGGAAAACTTTTTGTAGAGGATCTCAGCTAAATTTTTCTCCCATTTCATCAGGAATAATAGGGTCATATACCCCTTCTCCAACTAACCCTTGTCAGAAGGAAGTTATAATGATTGGATTATAGACCAGATTCTTGGGCTGGATGGAAGGTAACCCTCACTGAACACAGGTCCCCCTTAAGGAGTGCGAACATGAGCAGTTGAGGCTCTGTCAAAAAGGAAGTGGCTGGGGAGAAATCAACTTTTTCCCACTACATTAATCCCTTTAAACCAATCTTGAAACCTTCTTTTCCCTGGGAGACTCTTTCACTGGTCATAAATCTCTATTCTATAATCAATCAATTCTATTTCCTCTGCCCGTTCCTGAATGTTTACTTGACTTCTTTGCCTTAACTGGTTTCTTTGGGGGACCCTGCTCATGCTTCCACATACCTCAGGCCTAGATGATCATTGAGGAGGAGTCCTTCTTACTCTCCATGGGCTCTTTCAAATATTTTTCCTTTATCTTCTCTCAAAAATAACAACTCTTTTAAAACTCATACCAAAAGTCACCACCTACTATGCCTTCTAGGTGCTGTCAAAAATGTGGATCACTCCCTCTTCACTCACTAAAGTCTTGGGCTCCTAATTCAACGCATTTCACTCTACCTCGATTCTTGTCATCATTCTTGGTATGCAACTTCTGTCTTCAGTTGGATGTAAAGAAAAGAAAAGCCAACTCTAACAAGATGACATCATGCAAACTATTCATACATAACTTATCACCTTATGCTATATTATACATTAAAGCAAAGGAGAGAGAAAATAAAGACATACATTTTAATGTTTGGTCAAGAGCATCACCAAGTTTTGCTTCAGGCACCTCATGTACTGATAATTTTCTAGGTAATTTCTTCTGGACACTTTATGATATGCTGCAGACAGAGTTCAACAGTGTTTACATTTTACCTGGTCTTTTACACATTTTTATTTTGTTTTATTTTATTTATTTTTTTGGCCACTCTGAGCAGGACCATAGTTCCCTGACCAGGGATTGAACCCGGGCCACGGCAGTGAAAGCACTGAGTCCTAACCACTGGACCACCAGGGAATTCCCCACATTTTTAAATATAAGCATTCTGTCTTACTTGATAAGACAGTTTGGCTATTTTCATGTATTGCATGAGAAATATAGAATGAGTCTTTCTTCAAATGACATCCACCCTACCGCCTATAGATTCTTTTCCTATATCTCCAAACAAGCACCTCAAAACAGACATTTTGATTAAGCTTTCCTGATACCTGTGTGCCTCAGTCATAAATCAGCTCAAATTTCTAAGAAAGAGTATAGCTGTTTTCATTCCTCTACTTCAGCTTGCTATAGTTCATCCATCAAAAGTAAGATTGAACTTTGTGATCACATCAAATCACAGGACAGATGGGGAGGAAATATACTACACCATATGAACTTCACCTTGTTCATTTGATTCTAGGGTTTAATTGGAGTCTCAAAAGGAGAGAAGAGAAAGAATGCTGCAGAAAATTTTCAAGAAATAATGAACAGGGGACTTCCCTGGTGGTCCAGTGGGTAGGACTCCACACTCCCAGTGTGGGGGGCCCAGGTTCGATCCCTGGTTGGGGAACTAGATCTCACATGCATGCAGCAACTGGGAGTTCGTGTGCGCAACTAAGAAGTCCACATGCTGCAACTAAAAGATCCTGCATGCCGCAACTGAGACACGGAGCAGCCAAATAAATAAACAAAGAAACAAACAAATAAATATTTCAAAAAAAAACGAAAGAAAGAACAAAAAGTAATGTTCCTAAAGTAGTGAAAGACAAAAGTTTACAAAGTCAAAAAGCTCAGAGAGGATTTCCCTTGTGGTCCAGTGGTTAAGACTCCATGCCTCCACTGCAGGGGGCATGGCTTCAATCCCTGGTTAGGGAACTAAGATCCTGCATGCCATGTGGTGTGGCCAAAAATAAAAGAAAAAAAGCTCAGAGAGGGGCTTACGTGGTGGCGCAGTGATTGAGAGTCCACCTGCAGATGCAGGGGACGCGGGTTCGTGCCCTGGTCCAGGAAGATCCCACATGCCGCAGAGCAGCTGGACCCGTGAGCCATGGCCACTGAGCCTGCGCGTCCGGAGCCTGTGCTCCGCAACGGGAGAGGCCACAACAGTGAGGAGCCCGCGTACCGCAAAAAAAAAAAAAGCTCAGAGAGACTTAAATAGAATACATTTGAAGAAAACTATGCCTAGGCACATATTAAACTGCTGAAAATTAAAGACAAAAATGATATATGTTATATAACTTAAATAACTGTGGCCTGCTCACTGGATGCCACTACCAGCCAGATGACAGTAAAAAAAAAAATATTTAAAGCTCTGAAAGGAGAAAAAACAAGGTGATCTCAGAATTCTATATCCAAGAAAAATTTTCTTCAAGAATTAAGATGAAATAAATGTTTTATAGACAAAGGAAAACTAAGAGAATTTGTCAACACCAGACCCGACATTACAGGAAATGCTTAAGAAAGTTATTCAGACTAAATAGATATACCACAGGATAACCTAAATTTTCAGAAACAAATAAAGATACTGGAAGCAATAAAAAATAATATTTTACATTTCTCAGATATTTAACTCTTAATTGCCTTTCAATAGGTATAACTGTTCAAAGAAAAAAATTATAACATTGTTTTGTTAGGTTTACATTGTATGTGTATATGATAGTTTCAACAACTATCATATAAAGGACGATAGAAAGATGGTAAATGGACATACAGAAATGTGAGTTTTCTGCATTTCATGTTAAATGGTACAGTAGTAACTTTAAAAATATAGTGAAATGTTAGACAAGTATAATGTAATCTCTAGAGTAACTACTAGAAAAGAAAAAAGAATCAATGCAAAGAGGTATAGCCAAAAGATAAATTGAAATGAAATAAAATTTCAAATACTCTCCCCACTACCAAAAAAAAAAAGCAGAAAATGAGAAGTAAAGGAACAGAAATAAAGGGAGCAAACAGAGAACAGTAAAGGGGTTGGCCTAAGTTTAACCATATCAAGTTACATTATATGTTACCAGACTAAATGTTCAAATTAAAAGGCACAGATTCCAAAATTAATAAAATAGCAAGTGGCGATTACATGCTCTCTATAGAAGGTACATTTTAAAAGTAACTGGATGGAAGAATACAACATCATGCAAATGTGGCTTAATTTATACCAAATAAAATATGCTTAAATATAGAGATTATTACCAAAGATAAAGAACATTTCACAAAGATAAAAGGTTAGTTCTGTCTTGAAGGCATCATATTAATGTGTATATGTCTAATAAATGAGTTTCATAATACATAATGCAAAAATTAACAGAATTAATGGGGGAAATAGACAATTTCACATTCCTGGAGGAGATTGTAACACTATTCTTGACAGAATTTGATCCCCCCAAAAAGTCAGTGAAGAAATAAAGGAATCACCATAGTAATCCGCTAAAGCAGAAAACAAGAAAAGTTATATGATCACATAAATTGTTGCAGAAAAACTGAAACTGAGCGGGGGGCCCTACTGGCTTCCAGGCACGGAGGCCTTTTTGTCTACCATTTCCTGTAGGCAAGACTCCAGCCTCCACGACCTTCCAACAGTTGCAAATCAAAGGAGGAGCAGCCAGGAAACCGCCTGAGGCCCTGCACACACCCTAATCTTGTCAGCAACCCCACCCTTTTGAAACTCTGCAGGAGAAAGAAGAATGCAGGACTGTTACTGCCTTGATCCTTATCACA